AGTGTTTTCCTTTTCTTCAGATGTATACCGAGGAGTGGTAGGTGGGTAGGTAGGTAGATGGCCATTCTGACACGTGTGAGGTGATACCTCATTGTGGTTTTGATTTGCATGTCTCTGATGATCATCTTTAAGCTGGGCTGTTGTGAAGATAAAATGAGACGAGACATGCACAGCATTTAGCCCAGTGCCTGGCATGTGATAAGGCCTCAACAAATCGTAGCTATTACTATCTCATTCTGAACTTGATGTCAGGCTGCAGGCTGGCCTCTGAGACTCCAGGATACGTAAGATGTGGTTGGCCCTCAGGAAGCGTTTGTCTTAAGCAGATTTGAGATGGTCCCAGAGAGTCAAGGACGAACCTGGGATTCTGCACTGAGCACAAGGGGAGCACAGAGGTCATGGGGGGTCAGGGACAGGGCAGGTGACTTTAGGCTGGCTTTGAAGACTGAATGTCATGCTGGGCAGCTGCAGAAGCACAGGGGAGGAGAGACATAGGGCAGCTGAGGAACAACATGGGGGGAGCAGGTGGGAAGTCTGTGGCAGAAGGTTCTCTTAGGCAGAGGCCAGCCCAGATTCTGAAGGGCCTTGTTAAGGGGAGGGCTGCTGGTTTTAGCAGATTAAAAAATATAGACCGAAATACAAATTCGAACTTCAGAGAAGCAACAAATAATTTTTTTAGCACAGGTATGCCCCAAATATTGCATGGGTTATATATTTAAAAAAATATTGTTGTTTATCTGAAATTCAAATTTAACTGAGCAGATTGTATGTTATCTGGCTGCCTGGGAGGAGAGCTCGTACAGTTAACCTCCCTCGTTGCCATCCACGTCCCTCACTACACGCTGGTTGCCAGATAAAATACAGTCTACCTGGTCCTCAGAAAGCCCTGCTCAAATACAGACAGGTTTGGTCACAAGAGGAAGAAGCCTGTTAACTTTTTGTAGCAGATTGATTTTTCAGAGTAGCTTGAAAAGTGAAACAGGACATTAGGGAGGTCAGCCGAGGGGTTAAGAGTGGGGATGAGGGCAGCCCTGCAGGACACACAGGCAGCAGTGGGCAGGCAGCAGTGTGTCTGAGGGCCTGAGCCCTGGAAGAGGCCTGGGCCCAGCTCAGAGTTGGGAGAGTTCTCTCCCACTTCCACAGACTGAACCCCTGAAAGGGGCCTGGGTTAACTGACGGTCCTTTTGTGAGGCCCCCTGTGCCTTGATCTGGACTGTTGGCAAAGGCTGCGGCTCACAGGTGGGATTGGGGAGCAGTGATGGGAGTGGTGATCCCAGTGGGAGAGAAGACTGCTCTGGCTCTGGCGTAACAGGTGTGGACCAGGAGTAGAGAAGAGGGACAGGGGAGGCCGAGGTGTCCCTGAGGGTATGTCATTCGGAATGCATCTTCAGGTACCCTCAGGGGCTCCATGTTGCCTACAGAACAAAGGCCAGAGTCCCCAAGGGGGATACAAGGCCCTTCACTGGCTGATCTCAAGTCACCTCACTCCTGTTCCTCCTGGCGACCCCTCCCCCATACTCTAGGCTCCAGGCATACTGAACTATTTGCAGTTAATGATAACAATCATGGCAGTCCCACTAACTTAATACCTTCCTGTTGCTCTAAGCACTGCACTAGTTTAACTTGGTTAACCTTCACTGGCATCCTGTGAAGTGGCTCACCTTGTCCCAATTATATGTTTGAGGAAACTGAGACATAGGTTAACTCACCCAGGTCACACAGCTAGTAAGGGGTGTAAGAGCCCAGGTTTGGACCTGGGCCGCCCAGGAGGAGAGCTCGCACAGTTAACCTCCCTCGTTGCCATCCACATCCCTGACTACATGCTGCACTTCCGTGCTTCTGTGCCTTTGCCTGTCCAACCCGAGCACACAGCACCTCCCCTTTGAAGACTTGCCTGACCACTCCCTTTTCTCAAAGCGCCTACCCAACAGGAGTCCCGCCTGGCCCCTTTTGTAGTTTGTATCCGTCTTTGTTATGACAGTGAATAGTTTTAAGTCATAATTATTTACCTTTCTGCCTCCCTGCTGTGGAGCATCTACACATCCATGTTTTTATTTATTTATTTATAACATCTTTATTGGAGTATAATTGCTTTACAGTGGTGTGTTAGTTTCTGCTTTATAACAAAGTGAATCAGCCATACATATGCATATATCCCCATGTCTCCTCCCTCTTGCGTCTCCCTCCCACCCTCCCTATCCCACCCCTCTAGGTGGTCACAAAGCACCGAGCTGATCTCCCTGTGCTATGCAGCTGCTTCCCACTAGCTATCTATTTTACATTTGGTAGTGTATATATGTCCATGCCACTCTCTCACTTCGTCCCAGCTTACCCTTCCTCCTTCCCTTATCCTCAAGTCCATTCTCTAGTAGGTCTGTGTCTTTATTCCTGTCCTGCCCCTAGGTTCTTCAGAACTTTTTTTTTTTTTAGATTCTATATATATGTGTTAGCATACGGTATTTGTTCTTCTCTTTCTGACTTACTTCACTCTGTATGACAGACTCTAGGTCCATCCACCTCACTACAAATAACTCAATTTCATTTCTTTTTATGGCTGAGTAATATTCCATTGTATATATGTGCCACATCTTCTTTATCCATTCATCTGTTGCTGGACACTTAGGTTGCTTCCATGTCCTGGCTATTGCACATAGAGCTGCAATGAACATTATGGTACATGACTATTTTTGAATTTTGGTTTTCTCAGGGTATATGCCCAGTAGTGGGATTGCTGGGTTGTATGGTAGTTCTATTTTTAGTTTTTTAAGGAACCTCCATACTGTTCTCCATAGTGGCTATATCAATTTATATTCCCACCAACAGTGCAGGAGGGTTCCCTTTTCTTCACACCCTCTCCAGCATTTATTGTTTGTAGATTTTTTGATGATGGCCATTCTGACTGGTGTGAGGTGATACCTCATTGTAGTTTTGATTTGCATTTCTCCAATGATTAGTGATGTTGAGCATTCTTTCATGTGTTTGTTGGCTGTCTGTATATCTTCTTTGGAGAAATGTCTATTTCGTTCTTCTGCCCATTTTTCATATCCATGTCTTTGTTATTTTTTTTTTGTTGTTGTTCTTGTTTTTTTCCAGTACGTGGGCCTCTCACTGTTGTGGCCTCTCCCGTTGCGGAGCACAGGCTCCAGACACGTAGGCTCAGCGGCCACGGCTCACGGGCCCAGCCGCTCTGCGGCGTGTGGGATCTTCCCTGACCGGGGCACGAACCCGTATCTGTTGCATCGGCAGGCGGACTCTCAACCACTGCGCCACCAGGGAAGCCCCATGTCTTTAAATTGGATCCTCACGGATGGCCTGCAAGGCATGTAGAGAGAGTTTTTTCAGAAGCCTGAGGCTATTGATTGAATCTTTAGAAATAGAGACAGGAATAAAGCAGCCCTGAAAGGTTTCTGATTTTCAACTACAGGGTTAAGAAATGAACCCCCCAAGGTTGGCAACAGTGAACTATCTAGAAACGGGGGAAAAAGCTACTGGTATTCATGAAGTACCAGCTACATCCCTAAGAAAGGTATGTGTTGTCCAGGGAGAAATACAAAGAACAGAAATGGACATACACTGTATAGACCAGACCCTGAGATTCTGTTACCTTCTTTAATCTTCCTGACAATCCACATGGAGATAGTGGGGTTCCCGTGTTAGAGAGATCGAGGCTCAGCCAGGTCTGTTGCTTTGCCTGAGGAGCAGGGAATCAATCTGAGATCTGTCTGCTCTTTTCTCTACATCCAGGAAACAGGAGAGCTAGAAAAACACAAGACAGTCCTTGGTCTCCGCGAGTCCTGGCCATTCTGGGGAGAGAGTATTGGGGCTGAGTGCTTTAGGGTTTTGGAGGAGAGGGGATACCTGGGTTGGTAGAGGTGGGGAAGGGGCGCTCCAGGGGACTGAGTGAGCAAAGCTTGGAGGAGGTATGTTCACAGATTGCACCAGTCTGCAGTGGTGTTTTAAATGCCATGCTGGAGAGATCTGGCTTCTAGTCAGTTTTAATTTCTGAGCAAAAGCTACAGATACCTTGTAGCTCTCTGCTAGTCCAGGTCCACAGTCCCTTATCAGAAATCCCGGCACCAGATCTGTTTCGGAATTGATTCTGCCTGATTTTACAAAGGCAATATTGTCCCCCTCAAGACACCTGTCACAGGCCACACCGGGTACCAGCCTAAATCAGAAGGCTCTGGGATGGATCACAGCTCACAGGAGGGCATTCCATTTCTGCAGAAGTCCTTGCTATAGTCCACATAGAGGTCCAGGAGCTAGTCTTGCCCCCGAGAGGGACAGTTCGGGTGTAAGGAGATGAGATTCATGTTGGGTGGCTGCAGGAACTGCACTGGTCTAATGAAGCCCCATGTTCCATGGAGGCTGGTCCCTCTAGTAAGAACAGCATAGACATAGCTGCCAGTGTCCTCACAAAAAGTCACCACACTCAGGGAAACCCAAAACCATGGATTCCCCACTGTTTCCTCCAGTCCAGATGCAGTTACCGTTCTGGGTCATCTTTACCAAAAGCAGCGTTGCCTGGTTCTGTATGTAGTTGCTATATTACCTTTGTCTGGTCTCCAGGGGAACAGGTTAACAGAAAATTAACTCATGCTGAAGGGAGAAGGCTTTGTAACCCTTTACCGACATGTGTATATACCATGTATTTGGTAACACCTCCAGCGGGGTGCGTCCCATAATCAGGTATTAATAGTTCTGCAGCAAAATGCATCTCATCAGTAGTAACACAAAGTGGGATAATTAAGATTAAACGAACCGCACATCAGCTCAGGTTAGGTTTTGTACCAGTTGAGTTACAGATAACCTTCCAGTGTTCAGAACATTTGGAGTTGGGCAGTATTTGGAAAGGGATCGTAGACCTGTTGCATTTCCCTCTGAAGAAATTCCTTGGAACCTGAAATAAGTGCAGGTCGCCTGCCTTACCACTAGAGGGCACCTGGGGTTACGATCATTTTGTCCAAGATCCTTGCTAACGGAGGTTTTCCTCACTTCAGCTTGCAGATGCCACTAAGTTACCCAACCTGAAAGAACTTCTCCAGTCCTCAGGAGACAAAGACACATGGGCCTGGGACCTGGTGAGCTGGATTTTATCCTCAAAGGTCCTGACAATCCACAGTGCAGGAAAGTCAGAGGTGAGACTTTGGTCTATAGGATCACAGATTCCTGGGCCTGGAGGGCTCTGGGACCTCTTTGTGCACCAGCATGACCTGGGAAGCTTATTGAAAATGCAGATTCCTGGACCTTGTGTCCCCAGAAATTCTGATTCTGTGTCTAGAGTGGGGCCCAGGAACTTGTACACTGGCACTACAAAGCTGTGTTCTCCCTCTTACCAGCGGGACCTTGAGCAGGTTACTGGGTGCATTTCAGTACCTCAGTTTCCTCATCTGTAAAATGGGGATAATAATAGTATACTTCCATCAGGGAACTGGCTGTGAGAATTAAATGAATTTTCTCACTTAGAACAATGCCTAAGGGCACATGCTAGGGGCTCAGTAAAAGTTGGGTATCAGAAGCACCCCAGGTACTTCTGGCAAGGGTGGACCAAACATTCCAGCTGTCAGGAAGCAAAGAGACAGAACCCGAAGTGGTGGAAATCCTCAGGCTCTGGGTTCAAATCCCATTCCCATCTATTATTGAGTCTTCTTTTCCCCATTTGTAAATTGAGAATATTAATAGTTACCTCAGAAGGGAGCTATAATAGAATGTGTCTCACCCGCAGTACAGTCTCTGGCACAGGCCAGATATTCCATAATTTGGCTTCCCTTGCTTGGCTGCGATCTTGCGGGGACGGGCTGGGATGACAAGGATCAGGGTGTAGGACAGGCACATCCCTGATCAGGTGTTCTTTCCTGTAAGCGGCAGCAGGAGTTTGTACTATTCCTCACTTAATCAGTTTTAATTTAAGAGCATTCAGTTTTATAAGTTCCTGCTAAAGACAGAAATCCTCCTTAAGTGGCATAGAATTAGGCATCTCGTTTGTGGTGTCTAGGGACATCCTCCATCCATGTTGGATGGTAAGATAACATAAACAGCCCGGGAGAGGGAGTCAGGAGACCTGTATTCAGGTCGGGCTGGGCTGCTAACTCCTAGATGATCTCTGGGTTTCACTTTCGTCATCTGTTAAATTTAGATTTATTCATTCATTTACTCATTCCTCATAAGGGCATCAAGCGCCTACTGGAGTTGGGTGCTATTTGTAAAGTAGATAAGGCAGCTGCTCCTTGATTTTTGATTATAGTAGTGGAAATCCTCAGGCTCTGGGTTCAAATCCCAATCCCATCTGCTAAGTTCCATTAAAATATGGAGTGTTGGGACCCAGGATTATCAACTTTTTATTGTGCCCAAGTAAGGATATTGTCTACCATGTATCATTTTATAAAAGGATATTTTAATGCAAAAAAAAAAAGGATGGCCCTGACTTCAGAATAAAGGACAGTTCTTCCAAAGAAGGGATCATGGCAACCTTACATCAATGTAAATATATCTGTTAAATTGCCCTTATTTTTGTCATGTAATCACAACCCAGAGAAAACTTTAACACAGACTGGCTTTGGTCTGTGACGTACTGTTTGGAAATCTTGGAAATGGTGTGGTCTCTGCCCTGAAGAGGATTATTACCCTTTAGGAAGGAGCTTACCCTTCTGTATCAGTTAACTTCCATTGCATAACAAACCATCCCCCAAATCTACTGGCTTAAAACAACACTGATTGCTTCTCGTGATTCTGTGGGTTGGCTGGGTGGTTCTTATTGGTGGGGCCGGCTCGCCTGGGGCTGATCCAGGGTAGCCTCACTTGTGTGTGGGGGGCTTCAGCGGGGATGGCTGCTGTGGTTGGGGCCTTCCTCTACGAGGCTGTCATCCTATAGAAGGTTAGCAGGGCTTGTGAAGGGTTCCCAGCAGCAGACAAGGAAGGGCAAGCTCTTTTCAAGTCTCTGTTTGCCGTATGTTTACCAAGGGAAGTGACATGGCCAAGCCCAGATTTAAGGGGTGGAGAAATAGATTCCATCTCCTGATGAAATCTTGGTGGAATTCCACCTGCAAACTCGCATTGCAGAGGGGTGAGTGGACAGGGATGGGAGGAAAAAATGTTGTGGCCATTTCTGTAATTCATCATCACATCTTTCCACCTCCTAAGATTATTGTCAAGATGGAATGCAGGAAATAGATGTGAAAGTGTAATGAAAATTTGAAGTGATCTTTAGTTAGAAGGAGCAATTCATGCTTCTCAGGGAAAAATATTGTTAGAGGAAAGCAGCCTTGAGCTATAAGCTCTGGACTTGTTTATAAACTGATGTTTTTATTCCTGTGAAGCCAGTTCTTCTCATGAGCAGAGCCCACAGGCGTTAAGCCCAAGGCTTTAGGAGGCCATTTTGGCAGCACATTTAACCAACTTCCCAAATAAAACTTCAACTTCTTGCATGTTTTCAAGTTTGAAAAGATCCAAAAGCTGACTGGTGCCCCTCACACGCCTGTCCCCGTGCCGGACTTCCTGTTTGAAATTGAGTACTCCGACCCAGCCAACGCCAAATTTTATGAGACCAAAGGAGAACGAGACCTAATCTACGCCTTCCATGGGAGCCGCCTGGAAAACTTCCATTCCATCATCCACAATGGCCTGCACTGCCACCTGAACAAGGTGGGGCCCAAGGCTGCTGACATGGGGGGGCTGTGTGTCAGGGCTGGTAGGGGTGAGGGTGGGTAGGCTCACTAAGGCCTTGCCACTCAAAGTGTGGTCTGCAGACCAGCAACAGCAGCATTGCTCGGGAGCCTGTGAAAAGGCAGAATCCTGGGCCCACCTGACCTTCTGCGTCAGAACCTGCATTTTAACAAGATCTCCAGGTGACTCCTATACTGATTAATGTTTGAGAAGCATCGGTTTAAAGATGGTTCCCAGCCTTGGCTGCACATTTAGAATCACTTGGGGAGCTATTAAAAATCCCAATGCCTGGCCGCATCCCCGACCAATGTGGGGCCCGGGCACCAGTGTGCTTTCAGAGCTCCCCAGGCGATCCCAGTGGGTGGCCAGCCCTCACTCCTCAGCATGATCCCTGGACCAGTGGCGTCCACATCACCTGGGAGCTTGTTGAACATGTGGAATCTCGGGCCCACCGCAGACTGCCTGATCAGAAATCACAATTTAACAAACTCCTAGGTGATTCATATGCATGTTGAAGTTTGAGAAACACCTGCCTAGGGGACCCGCCAACAGAGTCAGCCCTTGGGGAAACAGGAGAGGAGCTCCCTCCTTGAGCACCCTTCCTTCCTTTGTCAGGAGTGTCAACCACCCCTTCTTTGTCAGCACTTTTTTGTCCCTCAGTGAGGCGAAGGAGGAAGAATACAGACAGGAGCCAGAAAGACCACCTTTGCAGCTCTGCAATCCTGGGGAAGTTTACTTAACCTCTCAGAGCCCCGGTGTCCTCATCTGTAAAATAGGATTCCATGACCCACGTGCTGGTGCCCTGATAGGATTGAAACAGTTCATGTATGCAAAGGGCTCTTCCTGTACTTAAGTACCAAGGAAGCAGTGGCTGCTTTTAGAGGCTGATGGAGAGCGACTCTGGGGTGTCTGGAGGGCTGCAGCCTTTCCACCAGTCGTCCCAGCATCTGCCTTGTCTGGGGGACTGGCTCCGCGAGCTGTGGGCTCAGTCGTGGCTGATGCAGCCCCGAGGCTGGAGAGGCTTTTCCAGCACTGCTGCCGCTGATTAGCACAGTTGGGTTTTGCGAGGATGATGGGCTCGTTTACAACTGGCTCTCAGCTTATTATTATGGCCAGGCTACTGGAATCCAGGGGGCCTCTGCTTCACACCAGAGCCCACCTGGAGAAGTTGCCTGCAGATTCCAGTCTTGTAACCAAACCTTCACTTCAGTGCCTGAGGGAGTTGGCTGCTTAGAAGCGTCTCATCATAGTCCTTTGGGGAAGTGGATGCTCTTCTGGCTCCTCTGTCTGGGTTTTCAGTGAGGGGCTTGCTTGGGGGAGCCTACCTGCCAGTTGAAGCTCTGAGATTGTTTTTCTCGTAGGGATACCCCAAGTTTCCTGCTGTTGTGCTCTCCTGCTCATGGTTCTTGAGTCTAGGGAATGGTGTATATATGGCAGGCATAAGCAGAAATGGATGTGGGGTCAGATCAGAGGACATCCGTGTCCTTGGAGAAGGTCTGTGTTAACTTTTGAGACATGGGGACTCTGTAACAAGGCCAAGGAAAGGCTTGTTTCATTTCCCCTACGCTTCCCTTAATCGGCTTAGAGTTGTGGAAGCCTGGTGCCACTGACTAGGATGTTTCTCAGTTAGCAAGTAGAGGACATTCAGTGAGCTGTTTGAGGCCATTCATCATCTTAAGGTACTGACACTGTGGCCCAAGAATAGCATCTGGATTACAGCTCATGTCAAATTCCATCCACTGGTAGCAGTTACCTAGAATGTTGTGCTGAGAAGGATTCTGAGTCAGTATGAATGAGTGCCACGATTGATATTTTTATGTCGGCGTCACGGTTGATTATTGATGTCTACCATGGGCAAAGGATGTGTTTGCTATGCCTGCTGTAGCCTCAGCTTGTAGGTATTTCACCTGAGATCCTTCTCTTTCACCTGGCATGCTTCCTCGTGGAGGACACCAAATTAGCATCACCACCAGGGACCTGCCTCCTAGAATTTTGGACATTTTCTTGGTCGACACCAACACAAAGAGCAAAACTTACCCTGCCCCTCATATAGGCCTGCCTCATTTGGTTACAGTTTCTGGCCTGAGAGATGCGTTTCTGTTCCAAGTAATGACTCCGATTACTTCCCTTAGTCACTCAGGTGTTACCCCCTCCCTGTACATAAGGGCATGACTTTGCTTCTGCAAGCCTGTCAGTGTAGCCATGCTTAACACATTCATGTAGCAGGAGTGCCTGATACCCTACGACATCAGAACCTGTGACGGCATACCCACCCCTGTCTTGTGCCAGGTGTCCTGTGCGGTGCTCTATGTGCATCATCTCATTGAATCCTTGAGGAGACAGTGTTGTCACCGCTTTGCAGATGTAGAAACTGAGACCCAGAGAGTTTATATAACTTGCTAGCTTGTTAGAGGGATAGGCAGGATTCAGACTTGGGTCCGTTTGACTCTTATCCCTGTGGTTGGTTTTCTCACTCAGCCTTAAGCACTGGAACTACTAGTTTGCCAGGTTAGTTAGCCACACCCACAATCAGTTAAACTGTCGTCAGATAGGAACGTGTTTCGTAATAACCCTGTGACGATGTCATAGGATTATTTGATCTTATGCCTTTTGCTGGGGGAAAAAAAGAGGCTTGAAGATTATGTTAACAACCCTGTTGAAGAAAGACCTGTGTCATCTTGCTGTGCCAACTCTGCATTCACCCAGCCCTGTTTCTTTTCTGTTGATCTCTGCCATTCCAGACATCCTTGTTCGGGGAAGGGACCTACCTCACCAGTGACTTGAGCCTGGCTCTCATTTACAGCCCCCATGGCCATGGGTGGCAGCGCAGCCTCCTGGGCCCCATCCTTAGCTGTGTGGCCGTGTGCGAGGTCATCGACCATCCAGACGTCAAGTGCCAAACGAAGAAGAAGGGTGAGTGAGCACTTGGCCCAGACCTGTGCTGCAGGCCTCTGGGTGTCAGGCTTTTGCCTTTGGCCCAGCTGCTGGGTGGAGCACCCATGGCATGCCAAGGGATGGGCTGGGTTAACAGTGTAGGACAGGGCCTGCCTTCAGGCAGTGAGCAGTCTCCTTATGGACTGAACGCACAGTGGAAAAGGTATCACTGACTACAGGGCAGTGGGTAGGGAGTGCCAGCTGAGGGTGCTGATGAGGTCCACAGCAGCAGCTCAGAGGAAGGGGCAATCATGGTGGGTCCAAGTGCTCAAGGAAAGCTTTGGGGTGGAGAAGATGAAAATGAGTGTGTGAGGCCAGAGCACAGTCTCACTGAAGGTAGAGACTGGATCTGATTCACTCTTGGGCACCTGGGGTCAGCAGGGAGTCTGGTACATACTTGACATTCAATAAACATTTGCTAAACTGAAGCTAAAGACTTGCGTCCACACGCTATTCCTCCAGGCTGCTCTGCTGTGTGCTGGAGCCCCCAGAGGATGTGAGGGGCACCTGAGGCCATGGGGGTGAATCCTGGGCTCTCTAGGGAGTGGCCACCTCAGTCTGCTCTCCTGATATGTGCCTTAGATCTTTGCCCTGTGCCCTCTGCTGTTTTGCCCTCAAAGGCAGAGGTCATAGAACTGTCATTCTAGTCTCCAGAGCTGGCCTGTTGGTTCCACTGAGAAAAGGAGAATTGAGAAAACTGTCTGTTCCTGGCCTCTAATGTAAAACAATTGGAATCCTGAGGAATGGGCCCAGGTCTGACGCCACTCTCCCAAACCAGACAGCACGAATATTCGCTTTTGTAATTCTTAGGAAGTCTGCAAACCGTGACATTAAACATTAGGACAAAACCTTGCAACGTCTGCTGTCACGAAGCTTTGACCTTTTGTGGGTTTTTTTGTTTTGGTTCTTTCTGGTAAAGCTTTTTCATGTTACTAAAAGGAAAGGTTTTGTTTTGTTTTTTGAAACAAGTCTTGGTACAAAAGGTGGAAGATAAGTGTTCTAAGAAACTCGAATCCAGAACCGTTAATTTAAAATGCTGTTAAAAAGTTTGTTTCAGATCAAGTCTTATTTCTAGTCCCAGATTATTTTTTTGTTATGGCCATCAATCTGCTTCTTCCCTCTGCTTTCCCAGCTCAGTTTTTTTTTTTTTTTTTCCCTCTTGTATCCCTTTCAGTTTCCTATTCCTTTTCCTCCTCCCGGTTGTCTGCTTGTCCGACTCTCCTATTTTTAAGTCCTGCTTCACGTACACACACAGCCCATTCCTCTGCCTCTCGGGGCTTCTCCACCCTCAGGACCAGGGTGCTTGACCCATTTCTTTTCATAGTTTGCTTCTGTTTTTATTGTATCTTCCCCCTGTAAAGTTGTGCTTTATCTCCTTATCTAGATTCCAGGGAGATAGATCGCAGGAGAGCGAGGATCAAGCACAGTGAAGGGGGAGACATCCCTCCAAAGTACTTTGTGGTCACCAATAACCAGCTCCTGCGAGTGAAGTACCTGCTGGTGTACTCACAGAAGCAGCCCAAGAGGTGAGAAGGATGGTCCCTGCGTGAGGTCCAGGAGAACAGCTAAAGGCTGCATTCATAGTATTGGGTTCTTAGTTATCAGCAGCTCCTCTCCCCCAGCCTTACACCTCAGCTATCTCCGCTTTATGTAAGGGGTAAGAAGTGAGGAATACAGGAAGAATAGAATCTGGTCCTGGCCCTAAGGGACTGTATATTCTAGTGAAGAAGAGCTTTGTTAACATAAATAACTTGAGGGACTGAATGAAGCCAAACTGTGAAGCCCCTTTGCCACTTGGGCTCCTGATCACAGTCTGAAACCCACTCACTGGCTTGCGCTGAGAGGCAGGGTGGTGCCAGGATCTGGCTGGGATTATGTGCCGTCCAGCTTGGTCACTTCCCAGGGTGGCTGTCGAACCACCACCTGCTCCTCTCTGGACCTGAGATGCTTCATCTTTATCTCTAAAATGAGAGTGTTGAGTCCAACAGCAGATGAGGCCTTCCAGCTCCTAAGAACCTGAGAGCGGTGGATTCCTCATGCCGTCTCAGCATTGTGTTTTCGAGGGTATGGCAGGGCTCTCCAGGGCTGCAGGTCACTTTGAGGTTTTGTCACACTGTTGGGGGTCCGTGGTAGAGTTTCTCATGGGGATGAGCAGCAGGTGAACAGGCAAGACAGGGAAAGGGTGATTGTTAATACTCTTGACTCCTACTTGCACACACCAGTGGCTTCTATGCTTCAGAATGCAGTATCTAGTAAAATCCTCCCTCCTTAAATCTGGGAAATACGTACCGGGTTCCTAAGTGTGGGGGACATTATCCTTTGGTTTAAAATCATCCGGCTTTTTCAAGTTGAAAATTCCATTCCTTTCCCACTTCCTCCTGGAGTGTCTCTCTAGTGCACACTTGGATGGTTTAGATCATCTCCCAGCGGGCAAAAGAGGATTTCCCCTGCTCAGAAGAATACTTGTGCATGTCTGAGAGTGAAAAGACTTTTGCTGAATACCCTGCCATCTGGTCAGACACCCTTAGTGAGGTCATCCTTCTAGATACCAAAGTCTTGCTTAGGAAAAGACAGGTTATAAAAGGTACAAGAGGAGCTATAAAAGAAAAGATCAGGATGAGCTCATTGCATAGCTGTCTTTGTACATCTAGAAAAGATCTTTGTGGTGTTGGTCAGCGACAGATGTGTTAACTGTAATTTGTCCGCGTGCTCCAGTGAGGCCCACCAACCACCTTTATACTCTTCTACTTGGTTCCCATGGTGACTCAAGTTCCCTCTTCATCTAATAGAATTCTACTTTTCATCTAAATCTGCCCGTATCTCTGTTCTTTCTGGTTTCTTTAGCCCAGCTGTGAGCATGATTTAGTTTTCAGTTGCTTAATTTTACTCATTCTATTATTCCTACCAATGAAGGGAAAGAACTTTTGGAATAGGTAACCAGGTTGAGAAATTCTGGCGAAAGGCGTGTCAGCGCCAGGGCAAATAGCCCCAGATTTTTTTTTAATTATTTATTTATTTATTTATTTATTTTTGGCTGCATCGGGTCTTTGTTGCTGTGCGCGGCTTTCTCTAGTTGTGGCGAGCAGGGGCTACTCTTCACTGTGGTGCGCGGGCTTCTCATTGCAGTGGCTTCTCTTGTTGCAGAGCTCGGGCTCTAGGTACGCGGGCTTCAGTAGTTGTGGCTCACGGATTCTAGAGCGCAGGCTCAGTAGTTGTGGCCCACGGGCTTAGTTGCTCCGCGGCATGTGGGATCTTCCCGGACTAGGGCTCGAACCCGTGTCCCCTGCATTGGCAGGTGGATTCTTAACCACTGCGCCACCAGGGAAGCCCAGCCCCAGATTCTTTGAGCAAAGGAGCATGCACAAAGCTTCTTTTCATGGCTCATTCAGAGGATGAAATTGATCATTTCATCTTCTTTGAGCCAGAAGTTGTTGCATACACTTTAAAAAAATGTTGTTCTCTTTGTTCCAACATCAACTCTTTTTTCCCCCTGAAGCAGGGCTTCAAGCCAGCTCTCCTGGGTTTCCAGCCATTGGTTCACGGTCATGATATCCCTGTATCTGCTGCTGCTGCTTATAGTGAGTGTCATCAACTCCTCAGCTTTCCAACACTTTTGGAATCGCGTGAAGAGATGATCTTTCTGGGCCTGGTGTGGGGACCACCGCAACCACGTGCCTTATGATAACTTGTTCTGTCCCTCCCGGGCCTCACATCCAGCTAGGTCAAGCCTGGGGGCCAGTTGGGGACCACAGGACAATTTTTATATGCCATAAATGTATCAATTGCCTTTGATGATGCTCTCAGCCACACTCTAGTCAACGGAGGCTACTGGCCCCTAACTCTTAGGTTTTGGGGGAGATTTCCTGTCTGCGCCTTCCTAAATAGTCTTAGGGAGTTGTCTTTTTTGCCAGGGCCAAAGGAGAAAGTCCTGCTGCATTTAAAAACAAAGTGTCCAGGCTGTCAGTGGGGTGTTTACAATTGCTTCTGGCGGACGTTGGCCCTTCTCTAATGCCTTCTGGAAGGCGGAAATGTGTAGTGGGGACTATAAATCACTAGGCGGTTGCCTTGTTTTGACTTGAGATACCCGAGAGGAACAGTCATGTTTCCCATAAAAATCGGTGGGATTGTTTTGAATTCCATCAGCCTTTGTATGTGAGTGCAAAACACTTTCACAGTTTTCTCACATTAACAGAGAGCCTTCTGCTACAGCTGTAACCCCTCTGCCCCAACCATGGATGAGAAAGGAAGGAGTCAGAGAACGGATAGAAAACAAAGAGCAAATCAAGTCATCTTTTTCTAAAAATTACCAACTGCTGATTACAGCTGAAATGGAACCAAATGTTTGTTTTCTAATTTTTTTTTTTTAAGTAGCTGTTTGACAAATTAGTCTTTGTGAGCTGAGTAAAAGGGGAAATTTCTAAACCTAGAGCACCATTTGGCCAGTGTCCACAGCCTCTTTCCTGGCCGTATTTTAGAGAGAAGGATTTGAGCTGTAGGCCTGCCTCCTGCTCTCCTTCTCACGAACCTGCCTTGATTGTGGCCTGTTAGCCACAGGTGCCACACTGCAGGCCTTCTGTGGGCAGCTGGCCTTTGAGATAGAGGCCTGCCTCAGTGTGCCACGGATGTGTGTGGGCTGAGCCTCCCTCACAGGGCCCGCAAGTCTCTGGGACTCAGCCTGGGCTTTAAATGTTCAGGGAAAGCCTCAGGCTGCTCAGAGAGCCCTGGTTCTACCTGCTGTATTCTCTGCCCCTCCTTCCTGCCCCGTGTCAGCTGTCACGGAGCCCTATCTGATTTAGGGGGGAGATTTCTGTAAAGAATGTGGAAATTCACTTTTCTATAATTTGTGAGGTTGTGAAAAAGCCACTATCCTGGTTTTTACATTGAATATTGGAGCATTTCAGAGATAATAAAGGTATTTTCCTAATTTCCAAGTTGCCTTTGTGACTGCTTTCAGCCTCAGCACGAGGCTGCTGTGTATTCATTGTTGGGAAAAATTTTATCCATCCTTGTTCGAGGTGGCCGTTTGCTGGAGAGTATATATCTCCAGGATATCTGTAGGCATTGGATTTATAGTTATTGATTTAGCAAATATGAGACCCTACTGTGTGCCAGGGACTAGAAGTAGGAGCAGAATCAGGTCAGACTGCCCCTGCCCTCACAGAGCTGACAGTCTAGCAAGGTAGGCAGATGGACAAACATTCTCAGAAGTGAAGTTGGCATTATATGGTATCATAAAGGAGTTTTGGAAGCTACTTGGCAAGGAATCTTAACATGGTCTGGGGTCAGGAAATATGGAGGTGACACCCTGGAGCCTGCAAGGCACCTTACATGTACTGATTTCTTTAATCCTCACAACAGATAAGAAAGTGAAGGCCCAGAGAGTTGAATAGGTTGCCCAAGGTTACATGGCTGGGAAGTGGCAGAGCTGGGGGTTGAACCTGGCTCAGTGTCAGTCTCGTAAGCATCCTGCTCTTCAGCCCCACTGGGCACCCAGGAAAGGTGACGTTCAACTGAAACCTGAAAGACATTGGTGTCAGGCTAAGAGGTGGAGGAAAAGCGTTTCAGGCAGTGCGAACAGCGCAAAGACCTAGAGTTCCTTCTGGAGAAGGTGAAAGCAGGAGGGTCCTACAGGAAGAGGCTGTGGTGAGAAATGAGGCTGGAAAGGTGGGCAGGGAACAGATCATGAAAGACCTTAAAAGTGGTGGGCTGGGGAGAGCCATTAGATTTTAACCAAGGAAGTGATATCAGATTTGGTTTGCAGAAAAATTGCTCTGGCTGGTGGTTGGAGAATGGATTTAGGATTATTTTGAGGATTAAAAGAACTGACGGTTACAATAGCTCAGCACAGAGCAAGTAGCTGATTTGTTTCAGCTGCTATTATTATTATCGTTATTATTTGTTTCTAATGGCTCAGCAGAGGAGATAAGCATGCAAAGGAGACAGAGCAGTAATGCCCAGGGACCCTGGAACGATGCAGTGTCACAGAAGCGAAAAACGAAGGCTTGGTGAGCACTGTCAAATGCTGCCAAGCAATCGAGATGATACCTGAGAAATTCTATTGGATTTACTGAGTTGGAGATCATTGGTGAACTTGGCCGGAGCACTTTCCATAGAGTTCAGCATAGGGGATGTGAACAAAGTCCGACTGCACAGATGTGAAATGTGCACAGTTTCCTGGTGTTCTCAGGCAATATTTATTTAAAACCTAATCCCCTTTTTCTGAGTTTTCTGTCCCCTCCCAACCCCCCCAAAAAAAGAGGTTGTATAATACCTGATGTGACTGTGGGGCAGGCACTGGGCTTACGATGGGGACATGAGGATGGATGAAGAACGGTCCTGTCCTCCAGGAACTTCCAAGCCAGTGGGCTCCATGGGACACGTACATTTTGATATGAGGGAAGGAAATTCCTGGAGCCTAGAGGGTTGGAATGGACGGGAGGGAAGACTAGGACAGGGCCACACTATGACTTTCATGAGCCCTGGGCGCTTTTGCTTTCATGGGCCCCTTCCTCTAAAAAAAAAAAAAAATCTAAAATTATACTGTAGGGGGCTTCCCTGGTGGCACAGTGGTTAAGAATCCGCCAGCCAATGCAGGGGACACGGGTTCGAGCCCTGGTTCGGGAAGATCCCACGTGCCGCAGAGCAACTAAGCCTGTGCGCCACAACCACTGAAGCCCGTGTGCCTAGAGCCCGTGCTCTGCAACAAGAGAAGTCACCACAATGAGAATCCCGTGCACCGCAACAAAGAGTAGCCCCCACTTGCCGCAACTAGAGAAAGCCTGCACGCAGCAATGAAGACACAAAAATAAGTAAATAAAATACATAAATTAAAATAAATAAATAAATAAAATTATACCGTAGGACTGTGTTGGTATAAAGATGAATGTATTACTCTTATGTACTAAAATGTTTTCTACCACTTAAAAGCTCATTTCCCCTTCTAATTTTATTGTTTTTATTTATTTTTGGCTGCGTTGGGTCTTTGTTGTGTGTGTGGGCTTTCTCTAGTTGCGGCAAGGGGGGCTACTCTTTGTTGCCATGCGTGGGCTTCTCATTGCAGTGGCTTCTCTAGGCACAGGCTCTAGGCACACGGGCTTCAGTAGTTGTGGCTTGCGGGCTCTAGAGCGCAGGCTCAGTAGTTGTGGTGCGTTGGGCTTAGTTGTTCCGCAGCATGTGGGATCTTCCCCGACCAGGGATTGAACCCATGTCCCCTGCATTGGCGGGTGGATTTTTAACCACTGCGCTACCAGGAAGGTCCCCCACTTCTAATTTTAAAGGGAATTAAATCCTTTTCGTAACGGGGACTCTAGGCCCCGTGCCTACCATGAGTCGTGGACTAGGGTCATGGGGGATAGTATGAGATCCATGGGTACCTGGGAATGGAGAGGCAGGAAGGAGACAAACCCTGAAGACTCAGTTCTGTTTAGCACTGACCCCACATCTAAGGCAGACCCCCTAGGCCAACCAGCTCAGGAAAGGGCAAAATTGGGTTCTGAGGGTTGAGAGCTCAGGGGGCTCATGCTGCAAACGCTTTCATGGAGGAGGAAGCACCAGTCTCCTTGCTGACAAACCCGCTATGGGCCAAGAGCTTCCCCAGGCGGCTGATGGCAGACGAGACCAGATGGTGGTTCAGCTGGAGCCACCTCCCATCAGAGCCCCAGCTGCCTTGTCTTGTCAAAGCAACCTCATCAGCCTTCTGTCACTGCTGCCACTGTCAGGGGGAGTAGTTTTGGGAGGTGGCAAATGGACCTCTCACAGGCTAGGTCCCTGCTTCTGAGAAGAGCTAAGAATCCAATGAGCTGTCAGTTTCCACCACGAAAGGAAGGATTTTACTCTGTAGGCTTTGGATTAGTTTATATGTGTATGTGAGAGTAGGGATGTGGTTCACTATTGTTTCTTTTCATTTTGTTAAACACTGATTGTCTGCAGAACCAGTAGTGGGGGGGGGGGAGGTTGTGATTTTAAAAGCCCAATTCAGATATTTTTCTTTAGAACATGGCCCTATGCATCTGAGCCCATTCCTGCTGCTAAGCCCAGGAGGTTTGTACTGGCTTGGAATCAGCCATACTCACCCTCCCCGTTGCCATGGTGATTCTTAGTAGGGAGTGGGGCAGGAGCTGGATTCAGCTCCCCAGAAAAAATCCAGGACCACACCCCTCCCTAAGCCCCTTCCACAGCCCTCCACTCTCCTCCTCTCCACCCTGCCCCACCTCGTGAGTTTTCCATCTCTTGGCCTTTGTTTGTTTTGGCTTTTGTCAGTCTCTTTCCTCTGGACGAGTTACTGTTTGTTTCCAAACTGTCTGGGGCTGTGCACCGTGCAGACAGTGTCCTGGGCCGCCTCTAGCCCTGATCTGGTTAGAATAAGACCCTCTCCTTTGTGTGAATCTCCAGCCTGACATTTGGAGCATCCAAAATAAATCGTGACATTCTGAAGCGAGATGGAAACCACCATTTCCACCCACTCCTGCTGGCACTCTTACCACCTGGATAGAGTTTTTAGAAAATTTCCAGTATTCACTGTAGTGCCCACATAGTGTAGCCCTGAGAAGGAGAAGCAGCATTTACTGAATACCTACTTTATACCAGCCACTGGGCTAGACTTTGCTTGTGTTAAAAATCTGGTGGTGAAGGTGATGTTTCCTGCACTAAAATTTAACTGCAAGCTGCTTGAGGTCAGGGCCTAGGTCATCTTTGTAAACCCAAGTATCTAAGACATGGTGGAAGTTCAAGAAAAGTTTGTTGACTGAATAAATGGAAGAAAGGATACAAGAAACTTCTTTGCCATAGTAGAGGGTAATGTCAGCAAAGGTGACTGAAGACAGACGAGAAAAAATTCACTGGCAAGCCAATGCGGATGGGTGAGGGTTTCAGAGAATTTTGTGGACATTTATTGCTTGATTTCAGGGAGTCCCATTTGCTCTCTGTCACCAAAAGTACCTTTTGGGAGTAGAGTGGGGTGGGCAGAACAGAGTCTTTTAAAAGTTTCATTTGAAAGGCTCAGACTTAAAATGCAAATGGTCCTGAGAGATTAAACTGTTGATTTGATGCTTATTCATACACACGTGTAAAGGACTGATGAGGAAGCCTTTCTTTTTTATAAGTTTATTTATTTATTTAGGCTGTGTTGGGTCTTCATTTCTGTGTGAGGGCTTTCTCTAGTTGCGGCGAGCGGGGGCCACTCTTCATCGCGGTGCGTGGGCCTCTCATTGTTGCGGCCTCTCATGTTGCAGAACACAAGCTCCAGACGCGCAGGCTCAGTAGCTGTGGCTCACGGGCCCAGTTGCTCCGCGGCATGTGGGATCTTCCCAGACCAGGGCTTGAACCCGTGTCCCCTACATTGGTAGGCAGATTCTCAACCACTGCGCCACCAGGGAAGCCCAGGAATCCTTTCTTAGGAACAGGTTTTAGTAAGACTTGTGGAGCTGAGGGTGGTGGAGGGGGTGGGGGAGAGGTGAGAGAGGAAGAAATCACTGGAGATTCAAGGGTGAGAGGAGCTTTGACCATGTGAGGAGGTAGGCGGAGAGGTCTGGGGCCACTGGAGTCAGAGTTTGCTTGATACCCGATACCCCTTTGGCTCAGTGAAATAAGCTTGCGGTGCTGACAGGCCCTTCCAGCCCTGGCAACACTGGTCACTTCAGTCAAACTGCCTGCTAGTGGGACAAGAAGGAGACAAGGCCAGTCTGAATTCCTGGGAAGTATGGATTGCAGACCAGTTGAAAGGTGTAGTTTTTTTTTTTTTTTTTACTGTTCTTAAGCAAGTCCAGGCTATCCCAAATGGGTCCATAACACATTGTCTATCAGAGGTGTCTAGGGATTTAAAACTAGCACATCAATAATATTTTTAGAGGGCTTGAAGGTGCTCGAAAAGCATTTGTCATCTTAGTTTTGACCCACTGATTTCCGTTGTTTGCCATCTGTTGTTCTTGTC